CATGGTAGACAGTGGAGGGATTGGCAGAGGGGGATGGAAGCCAGTGGAGGTATTGGCAGAGGGGGATGGAAGCCAGTGGAGGTATTGGCAAAGGGGGGAGGGGGATGGAAGCCAGTGGAGGGATTGGCAGAGTGGGGCGTGGGATGGTAGACAGTGGATGGATTGACAGAGGGGGGTTGCAGACACTGAACGGTTGGTTAGGTAAATGAGTCTAGCAGCTGCATTCATGATAGACTGAAGGGGGGGAGGAGCCTGTGTAGTGGAAGGCCAATGAGGAGGGAGTTAAAATAGTCCAGACGAGAGATAACAAGGGAGTGGATGAGTAATTTTGCGGTGTCATTGGTGAGGGGCGTATTTTGGAGATGTTAGGAAGGTGAAGGCGGCAGGATTTGCATAGTGATTGGATGTGGGGAAGAAAGGTGAGGTCCGAGTGAAGGATGACACCTAGGACCTTGGCATGGGGGGAGGGCTGGATAGTTGTGTTATCAATCGCAAGAGAAAAGTTGGGGCAAGGTGCACGGGGTGGAGGAAATATCATAAGCTCAGTTTTTGAAAGATTGAGTTTTAAGAATCTGGATGTGACATCCAGACGGATATGTCAGATAGTAGATTAGTGACACGCAAGGACACTGAGGGGGAGAGTTGTGGGGTAGAGGTAGATATGAGTGTCATCGGCATAGAGATGGTATTGGAAGCCATGTGAGATTTTTAGCTAAATATTCATATACATTTTTACAGTCCTATAAATATAAGATGGAAATATTTTTCTCTCTAACTTTGTAACACTTGTAACTACAAAATGTAATGATTAAAAAAAAAAATAAACATTTGATTGTATTCCTTTTGTTTACAGCTTTGAACATGTCTTCCAAATTATGGTCCGGTGTTTGGTATCATTTTGAAAAACTTGATAGAAAAGCAAAATGCCGACATTGCCAAAGGATGTTGTCAATAACTTCGGGATCAACAGGAAATCTGAAGAGGCATTTAAAAACGCAACACCCAACGGTGTCCGTCAGCCGAAAACAACAACAACAACAACAACGGAAGCGATCTCGTTCTCCCTCCGTTGACGAACCTCCGGCATCAAACGAGACCTCTCAACAAAACCAGCCGCATTCTTTAGATTGTTCGCCCGTCGCTAGTCCCGCATGTATCGGCGTCTCGCCAGGCAACTCCGATACGGCGAGCAACAGTCTTCAATCTCCAGCCTCGCCTGCAACGGCGCCTCAGTTTCAATCGCCTCCGAGCAGGTTTGTGGGTGTTCTTCGTCCGATAGCGATCTCCAAAAAGAGATCTATTGATATTCAATTATTAAAAATGATTTGCAAGGAATATCATCCTTTCTCCATTGTCGACGACGAAGAATTTAAGACATTTGTACGTCTCTTAAACCACCATTACCACCTTCCGAGCTGTGAAACCCTTACAGATAGCTTATTGCCTTCTGTTTACAACGAGATGTTAGTTAAAGTGAAAGCCGAGCTATCTGACGCTCAAGCCGTTTGTATAACTTGCGACGGTTGGACAAACATTAACAACATCAGTTGTTATGCTCTTACAGCTCATTATATCGACAAGGCCACTCAACCGAGATCGTGTTTCGTTGACTGTTCGGAATTTTCTGCACGGCACACAAGCGCTAACATAGCTTCCTGGATGAATGAAGTTCTGGAAACATTTTCCATACGCTTCAAAATTTGCGCCGTCGTCACTGACGATGCCGCCGACATGAAAGCGGCCGCGGCTGACTTGAATCTAAGACACATCGCGTGTTTCGCACGCGGTTTAAATGCGATGGTGAAAGAGGCGATGTCATCATCCATCAATGAACTGGTAGACAAGGCAAAGGGTCTCGTTCAATACTTTACACAAAGCAGCTCTGCTTTAGCTAAACTCCACGAGGTGCAAACGTCACTGAACAAAGACCACTTAGAGCTTCAACAGGACGTGCCGACAAGCTGGAACTCCACCTACGACATGTTAGAAAGATTAGTGGAAACCAGAGAACCGATAGTGTTAACACTGGCGCTGTTAGGCTCAAAGGAACATTTTATCTTCGAAGCACACGAATGGGAAGCCGCGGACCACAGCGTCAAGCTGTTGGCAGTCTTCAACGACGTAACTAAAGAAATATCTTCCGAAACAAATGTTTCTTTATCCAAAACGTCCATTTTGTCAAGGATAATGTCAAGAAAGGTGGCGCAATACCTAGAGAGCAACCCCGCTATTCCCGATAGCGTTTGTAAGTTAGGTAAGCAGCTCGCGGAGGGCTTGTCGAAGAGGTTTGGCAATAGAGAGTCGAATGAAATGATATCTCAATGCATCATTCTGGACCCCAGGTTCAAAAAAGAAGGATTCGGGGATGAAGCAAAATACAGATTGGCCTATCAAGCGCTCGTTGGGAAGGTTCGGGTTTCTGTGGAAAGACAAGTCGCAGAATCGAATCATCAGGCAGCGTCACAAGGTCAAAGTTCGTCTCCTCATTCAGTATGGGGGAAATTCGACGCTTCTTTGAATCATTTGCAAGCCAGACAGGACCCGATGTCTGAGGCAGTAGTAGAGATCGACAACTATATCAAGGAAGCGCATTTGCCTCGCACCAGCGATCCATTTCATTGGTGGGAATTGAGGAAATTTACTTATCCCAATTTATATTCAGTTGTTGTAAAAAGACTTTGCATACCGGCTAACAGTGTACCCTGTGAAAGGATATTTTCGAAGGCGGGGCAAGTATGTGCCGAAAAAAGGAGCAGGCTAACAAGTGACAACATGAAGACAATATTGTTCGTTAATAATAATTTACATTTAGTTTGATATTCTAATTTGAGAAAGCATTACCCGGCATTTTGTGTGGTGTTGCGATTAATAGAATACACATTCTGACGTATTTTAGCCTGCCAAAGGGATTTAAACATGTGTATTTTTTTACTTGTAAATCATATTTTCTGTGAAATTATTTCAAAATAAAAATACATTTGGTTTAATCTGCAAGCAGTGGTTTTACTTTTAAAACAACTCCCGTTCACTCCCTCAAAATACACCCGTCTCATTTCCTCTCCTACTAAAAACAGGTTTAGTGCACCATGAGCCATTTGAAAGAACAATACACTCAGCAGCACAGGAAGTATTTTCACCACTTCCGGTGCCCAACTTCCCACTTCCGGTCGGCGCGGATGGCCATGACTAGGCTGGCAGTATTGTGGAGCGCACAGACCAGAAGTGAAGGGAGCGCGAAGCCCGGGTGGGCCCTGGGGAGCACAGTTTGCGGGGTGTACATCTTCCCTCTGGGAGGTCAGATCTGTGTTGGAACTGCGGCCTTGTTAAAGGTTCCACAGCGACTTCCGGCGCCCAGGCAGCCATTTTGCTTTAGGGCAAAAAGTCCTGTCACGGTTCTAGCGGAACCGGATGTGACGTCACGAGTTGGTCGATAAGTTGGAAGTGTCGATAGAACAGAGCGGCAAAGCGCTTTAGTAAGTGCAGAGCCAAAACCACCACTAGAGGGCGGACGTGTGATGGAAGGAGTAGTCTTCTGTACAGGAGAGAGCGGCCATTTTGTTGTAGGCCGGAAAAGGTGGAGAGAGGAGCTTTTGTAGCTGAAATAAACTTCCGGCTGGAGAGTGTGAGCCCAGTGAGGAGAAGGTAATAATGTTTTCTTATTATGAGTGAAGGGGATCCCAGCACTCTTTGTGGGCTGGAAGGGAAGGGGGTCATGTGACTTCAGTCAGGTGACATGTGCTTTATAAAGCAGACAGATGTGGGGGGAGTTGATGCATTTAAAGTTGGGCTCCATTGTGAGAGGTTACCAGGATTTCTTGATATCAGAGACTTGTTATTTGTCTATTTCTCTAATTTGGACTGTGAGGTTTTCCTTCCACCTTTTCTGGCTTTGACCTCCGTTCTCTGTGGTGCAGGGCGGCGAGCTCAATAATGAGGTGAAAGGTCATTCCAACTTTTTTCCCGAAAGGTAAAGCTGAAGAGAGGGTGGAAACATGAGGGGAAAATATGAAACCTTCCGCCAACCAGCTCCACCCCCCTCAGCAGGCGTCCAGTGAAATCAGTTCCTGTGATAATATACAAAGCCGGCCAAGTGTGAGGTGACTCCGCTGCTCCCCATTATTAGGAAGACCCCCGGATTGGGTCAGGTGGTCTCCTGTTCTTAGTGAAGAGCAGCAGAGGATTTCTCGGGGATACAATGAGCCCATCACAGGATGTGCACCCCCCGATCCCGCCCCTCTTCTAAATACTGGGACACAGGTCCTGGATCCTCTCCATGGTGCTCACAGACGTAGGAAGAATAGGGCGGGGATGGCCATGGAGAGATATGTAGATGACTCCTCTGGGGGTGACCTGAGGTGCCATGACCTCCGCTGCCTCTCATGGGACGCACCTGAAAGACAGAAGTGACATGGACAGCGATCTCCTTCCTTCCCTCGTCTCCCAGCAGTCAGGTGACACTGAGCTGTGTGTTCTCACCTCAATAGGCCCCTGTATGCAGGCCGATCCTTTCCTCCGTGTATGATTGGGGTATTCATGGTTCCCTCACACTGCCAGAAAGAGAAATTAAGGTTCCTCTTCTTCCTGCCCGGCTCCCCTTTGTTCCCAGACCAGGCCTGAGGAAAGCCACATTCCCTATTGTGGGGGGTCAGGCTGACGACTGGGAGCTCTGCTCTCAGGTGGGTGTTCCCCCAGCAATGACAGGTTCTCTTTCTTTCTCTCTACACCTCAAAACAGATCACCATCCATTGAAGATGGAGACGGAGCGCGGTCACATGACTGAGAGGATATTAAACCTCACCCTAGAGATCATCTACCTGCTGTCTGGAGAGGTGAGGAGGATTCTGGGAGGTCACATGACATTATCACTATTTAGCAGACCTGAAGAAGGAAGTGAAGGTTTCTGGGAACCACCATGGATTTACAATGCAATTTAGTGATATTTTTTTTCTCTCTTAAAACCCAGGAATGTATTATAGTGAAGAAGCCGTCCGATGATCACATGACAAGCGTGTCACAAAGTTGGAGCAGGAACCAGAGCGCCATGAAGGAGCCTCCAACTCCCTCCCTAATGCCTGAGATAAATAGTGATAAGAAGATTCTAGAAGTCACCCAGAAGATCATTGAGCTGCTGACAGGAGAGGTGAGCGGTGCCGGGAATTCTGGGACATGATCCAGGAACAGACAAGGGATGTGTCTGGATGGTGACTGTATCATTGTGTGTGTCAGGTTCCTATAAGGTGTCAGGATGTCTCTGTCTATTTCTCCATGGAGGAGTGGGAGTATCTAGAAGGACACCGGGATCTCTACAAGGACGTCATGATGGAGAAGCGGCCGCCCCTCACATCACCGGGTAAGAGGAGACTTTCATTTCCTGAGTATTGAGGATCCCCCTAGATACACATCCTCTGATATAAAGACATAGAAACAATGTTTTCAGTCAGTGTGTGTGTTTCCTACAGATGGATCCAGGAACAGAAATACCCCAGAGAGATGTCCCCGTCCTCTGTATTCCCGGGATTCCACACAGGAACATCAGGAGATCCCTCAGACCCGTCCTCTTAATTCCCGGGATTCCACACAGGAACATCAGGAGATCCCTCAGGAGTATGAGGTAAATGGAACTAAGAGTCTTAATGAAAGTAATATGACATTTCTGTCATGATGCAGATAAAATTGCCAAGAACATAATTCATTTTATTCAGGTGGAAGGCCTGATTGTTAAAGTTGAAGATGAAGAAGAGATGCTTGTGCTTTGTAAGGAGGAGGAACATTCTCCAGAGATCAGCACAGGTGAGGAATAAACACTAAATCCAGAGAAGAGTCCCAGATTCTCCTTGTTCAGTCACTACAACAATCTCTTCTTCTCCCCCTCCTCTGTCAGTAGACAGTAATGGGGGGACGGAATGTGTCTAGTGGGGGGAGTCAGGAGCCATCAGCCTCTATTAGACTCCGCCTCTCCTCCTCACATCATGTCATTGTGTATTACCAGCCAAGAGACGTGACCAGTCTCCCCCACACACACTCTCTGGGGTCTCTCATACATCTCAGTACAGGGGGGCTTCAATCTCATCTCTATTCACAGATACCAGAGACACTCGGAGAGACATCAAATCCGAGGAGGAGGAGGAAGAGGAAGAAACTGTGAGGATCAAAGAGGAGGAAATTCCTGTGGAGATCAGTACAGGTAACACATATTTGCATTCACTAGAAGTAGAAGTGTGTGAAAACAGTGGGCAGTCCTTGGTTCCCTCAATGTCCCGCCCCCTTTACCTGTATTCAGTCAGTGTGTGTTTCCTACAATAAAATATAGAGAATGAACTGCGCCAATAAGCAAGCTAACAGCTACAAGGCACTGGAATGTACACCCACTGTGAGTGTGTATACGTGTTTAGTTATTCGTGTGTTTCCTACAGATGGATCCTGGAATGTGTGAATGTCACTTCACATGTCTATAAAAATGGCTTTTTCCACTTTTAGAATATCCATCAGGAGCTTGTAGATAGGAGTCTTCCCCCTGCCCCCCTCCCCCGAAACCATGATTGCCTTTATGATCGTTGTCAACAATGAAAGATTGTGGACTCTCAAACTGATGGATTGTCCCTCAATGTTTTGGGTTCTGTTTGAATCCCTTGACAGGATTGGTAAGGAGGGGAGGGGAGGTGTTCATCTGAGTCATTGATAAGTGAGAAGACATGTTATGGATGACTCAGATGAATGTCCCATCCCCCCTCCTTGCCTATAATCTATTGTGCTTTTCGGTGAAATATTTAAGGGGGAGACGTTCCGGAAACATTTTAATATCCATACAACGTGTGTTTTTGTTTGCTGGTTGAACTGTTTCCCATTCATCTCTTATTTCCTCCAGGGGGACTTCCCATAAACTACATCACACACAATCCCACGAGCCCAATTCCACTCCCAGCCCGTTCCTATGCGTCCAGTGATTCCTCTACACCCAGGGAGGGTTTTCTTAATCGCTCACCTGCCACCGCGCGTCCTACAGATCACAAAAAGGATGAAAAGCTCCTGTGTTCCATGTGTGGGAAGTGTTTGACCAAGAATGAAACTCTCACCGTACACCACCGATCTTACACGGGGGAGAAGCCATGTTCCGTGTGCACGAGATGTTTTCTTCGGAAACTGTGCTCGATTAATCAAGAAATATATGACACGGAAGAAACCCCCTATGTGTGCTCCGAGTGTGGGAAATGTTTCAGCCAGAAGTCAAATCTTACATACCACCTCCGGGTTCACACCGGCGAGCGGCCGTTTTTTTGTTCCCACTGCGGTAAATGCTTCAAAACGAACGCCCGCCTTCTCCAGCATCAGAGGACGCACGCCGAGGTGAAGCCCTATTCCTGTTCGGAGTGCGGGAAGTTCTTTACTACAAGTTCGGCTCTTGTCAAACACCAGAGCACTCACACCGGGGTCAGGCCGTACCCATGTTCGGAATGCGGAAAATGTTTTACCACGCACTCAGTCCTTGTCAACCACAAGAGAACTCACACGGGGGAGAGGCCCTTTTCATGTACGGAATGCGGCAAGTGTTTCACCACGACTTCGGCTCTCGCCGACCATCAGAGGATTCACACCGGGCAGAAGCCGTATTCGTGCCCGGAATGCGGGAAATGTTTTACTACGCGCTCGGCTTTCGTTTACCACCAAAGAACTCACACCGGGCAGAAGCCGTATTCCTGTTCGGAATGTGGGAAAAGTTTTACCACGAATTCGGCTCTCGTCGGCCACCAGAGGACTCACACCGGTCAGAAGCCGTATTCCTGTCCTGAGTGTGGAAAAAGTTTTACCACGCGCTCGGCTTTTGTTTATCACCAGAAAACTCACAGCACGGCAGAGGTGCAGTAGTCATATTCAGATGGCGGGGAATGGTTTACCGGAAAGAAGTAAGATGTTATGGGCGAGAATTCACACCGGGAAGCCGCCATGTTCATGATAGTGTGGGAGATGTTTCACTGAAACCCCCAATAACTCATACTGGTCACTAATCATGATCCATTTGTGGAAGATCTATTGCATTGATGGCCCACACAAGCAATGAACCACGGATGTCTTCTAAATGAAGGAAGAGACTCTGACCCTAACGCCACATCCCGCAGGATTCCAGAGCTGGCTGCGGCAAGAAGAAAACCAGCACTTTGCCCACTTGTTACATGAACAGTATTTCATAGTTTTATTCCTTTGTGCTTCCTCTGTGATTGTGTTTTCATTCTATTTGTTTCAACTCTTCTTTCCGATGTATGCAGTCATTGGCAGAGACAAAGCAGGGGGACTTAAGTTGGTCATACGCTGTTCGAATGTCAAAATTCAAGCAGTGCCTGGCTCCGTCAGCACCCCTCCCTTTGAGGAAGTCCGCTGTCAGCATACAAAAGCCTGGCGCGGGGGGGTGGTGGGGGTTTTTACTTTTTTTATCCCCTTTTAATTCTTTTTTTAATGTATTTTGTTATTTTTTACCATCTTTTATTTAATTTTTGTTCACCTAACTTTTGCTATCCCCATGAGGCTGTCAAGCCCCTATGTAACAGCATTTGGAGGTGACAGGTTCTCTTTATGGAGACATTGGTAGTGTATTAGACCCCTGATGTCTCCGCTGTCCTCTAATACAGGACGTCAAACGTGGAATTGTGCTTCATCGTCTGTTCACCCGGTGTTCTGTCGAAAGCTCCAACTCGTCGAAAACCTCCAACTACCTCACTGCCGGGTACTTGCAAGTTTGAGATTTCGTTAGACTGCAAAACACAAAGACTGACGGAGCTTCTGTACAGCTGCATTTTAACAATATTCAGCAGGTGGCAAACTCCACGAGTATTCTGAAAACGCTATGCACACATGCGCACCGCAACTGTACAGCGATTCAGTCTTTCTGAGGACCGGAAGTGAGGTAGTTGGAGATTTCGATGAGTTGGAGAGTTCGATAGAACACCGTCACTTCACTTACTGACTCTGAAGCAGGAAGTGCTGGGAGCACAGTGCTCCCTGTTTCATTCAGCATAGAGAAGATCGGAAAACGGATGTTCCCCGGTCTGCTCCTGCTCTCCATGCTGACACTGTTTGCCATGGTTCCCGGGCCCCCCAGCGATGCAAGGGACCCAAAAAAAAAACCGGGGGGAGGTGTATATGCAGGGGATCACCCTAGTACAAGTTATCAGTGGCAGTAGAGCCACCCAGATCACTTATAGTTGCAGCAGCTGGCCCTGCCTAATGTAATGCCTAATGGTTAATAGAACGTCGGTGGTTCCAGCAACCAATAACTGAAACGGAGGGGGCGGTGCCGGGTTATGGTTGGAAGTGGATGCACCGACCTTAGAGGCCGGTGTATCCACTGTCACCCAGCCCAGTGCAGGTCAGCGAATGTTTTCCAGACAGAACCGCCACTCGGTCTGTGCCCGGACCGCGTTCTGCCATTTAGTGACACCCGCTTTAGGGGGTTAATATTACATA